GTTACATTTCCATTAAAAAAAGGCAGTGGTTTGGGGGGGGGGCAGTGAGGAAGGTTGGTGATGTTTAATGATTGAATAGTCAAAAGTGTCGAAAGTAATTTTGGCTCTTAATTTTTGTTAAATAGTCACCTTTAAGTTAACATAAAATTATTTCCAACACAAAAAATAATGTATGTCATTGGCACAGGTTATGTCACCTATAGCTACACAATGAAGTAAAATATATATTGTTTTCAGTTTTTAGTTACTTTAAATGCTCTGGGATACGCAGGGAATAAAATGGCCAAGGCATAAGTCAGAAAAGTTAAAAGGTTGGTGTTTAGACACAAGTACGCTTTAGAGAAAAAGTAATTTTGAGTGGATTTCTTATTTTAAACTTGTTCAAAGTAATAAACAAGCAGGCTTGTTTAGACAGTAGAAGTGGCAGCGACAGAAAAAGAAAAAAAGAACAATATTTTGTTATTGGGTAGGTTAAAGGGGTTAAGTGGCCATAGAGATGAGCTTTATCTAACCTTATAGATATATTTTCCTATTTGTGACAGGAGAAAAAACCTAGGATTAAGGTAGGAAGGAAAGCCAGATACAGAAGAACAAAATCCAGCTTCTGCCATCCAGGCTAACAGCTCACACCCAAGTAACTTCAGAACAAAACTCTATGACAGTGGGAAGCATAGCCTTTGGCAAATAGTCAATCAATTATGCCCCTTAATAGTACAGCCTGCATTTCAGAGCCACCTATAACACAAGTTTTATTTGGGAAAATGGGTTTAAGGATATGGAATGCTATATGTCTGCATTGTGCTTAAATCATTAAGGTTGTATTTTGCAGAGAGGCTTAGCCAAAATTTCAAAAAAGACAGAGGTTAAATAGAGAATGGTAGAAATTATCTTCTTATCCTGTGAATCAAATGGAGTCAGAAAATTGGGGCTAGGCCTTTCAAGCTGGGACAACTTCTCCTATAGGATCAGCCATCAAACAGACATATTCTTCTATTATTCAATATAATTAATTAATTGATTAATTGAATTTGTGGAATTACAGAAAAGGAATTGCAAGCGAAAGCAAATTTAGGATCCTTGAGTCATGTCAGCCTGATTCTAGTAAGAAGACGGATGACTCATTTAAAAGGGTGATTGAAAGAGTTAACAGAGTGGTTACATAGGGAGGATGTAGGGAAAAATCACAAGGGATGGTGATGCATCTGGGTCTATCAATAGCTGGAAAGGGTAACAATAGGGCAGGAAAAGGAAGTGAAGGAAAGGAAGAAAAGGAAAGAAAGGCCTTGGAGGGGCAAGAAATGAGAGCAGTTATGAGACTATGGCAAGAACCACACCTTGTTGGAGAGGCCACCCATGGGAGCTATGGCCTTAATTATACCAGTCTATGCTTTTAGTAAGAGATAGGAGAAAAGAAAATAAAACTCCAACTTCTTTCTTCTACTAACCTCTGATCTTAAGCAGTGTCTCCCACTGCTCAAATCCTACCCAAAGGACAGAGGGGCTTGGTTGATAAAGCCCAAAATTTTGAGCCTCCCAGAACTCAGAGGAGAGTGGAGATGAGTCAAGAGTATGAATAGGGAGATGTTGGTCAAGTGGTACAAAATTTTAGTTATGCAAAATGAGTAACTTAGAGATCTAATGAACAGAAGTTAACAATACTGTAGTATAGACTTGAAATTTGCTAAGAGGGTAGATCTTGAGTGTTTTACACCAAAAACAAAAACAACAAAAAGAAAAAAAAAAAAGGAAAGAAAAAAAAGGAAGGAAGTGGTAACTATGTAAGGTGATAGATATGTTAATTAGCTTGAGTATGGTGATTATTTCAAAATGTTTACATATGTCAAATCATTAAGTAGTACAAGTTAAATATATATAATTTTTAATTGTCAACTATATCTCAATAAAGCTGGAAAAATATAATGTTAAATAAAAACAAAAGTTACCGAATGATTATAAAGGTGCATTAGGAGAGGTAGAGAAGAATCAGCAGAAGACATACAATTTCTTGGGATTTGGGGGGCCTTTAAGCAACTAAGATTTCTTTTCACTTCAGTTAGAATAATGTGTTTGATACATTTATAATTCATTTATTCAACAGATATTTATTAAGCACCTCCTAAATGCCTCATTGGGGAATAGGCATCTCAGTGTGAGCAAGTCACCATTCCTGATTTCAAGTATCTTAGTGGTGAGGGAGCAGGGTACATCAATCAGGTAGAGAAGTAATGTTAAAATAGGGATCACTGTGAGTAGCAGGGTGGGGTATCTGGCACTCCTGTTGAATTCAGAAAGCTTTTATGGACTAGGATAATGTTGGGAGCTTCCTACGTGGAGAGTGGGAGTAGGAGAGTAGAACAATTGGGGACAGACTATCATTGAATGATCAGTAAGACAGGATGTAAGTTCCAGGATTATGTGAAGTTTCTTATGATCACACCTAGGAAAGGAGTATGTGGGGCAGGGCTCATGAGGTGGAGTAGGAAGAGAGAGCTGGGCCCTGTTGCACCAGACCTCCTTGGCTGAGGAATTTGGAATCTATCCTCAAAACACTGGGGAGCTACTACTGGTTTCTAGTAGGGAAGTGGCATTGCCAGATATGGAATCAGAGACAAAAGGAACTAGTAGGAGAAATTAGTGATGAAAAAGACCAATTTGTATATGTTTTTAATGGCAAATTGAAACAAAACTTTCTCAAAAAGTGAAACTCCAAGTGAAGATCTGTTGAGCAAGCAACTTCCGTATCCATTTCCAAGAAAATGAGGACATGGTTTGGAACTTCCAGGCCAATTGAATTGAAGTGTTTTTGTATAGTTAGCTTAAATAACCAAATGATGAAATCAATCCTCCAAATTGTCAGCAGAGCAGCTGTTCAGAAAGCTCTTGTTAGTCATTGACCTTATGTTTAATATGATTTCCTAGAACGTGGATAGTCAGATTGAATAAAGTACTGCATCAAAGCCCTCCCCACACAGCAAGCTCTCTGCATTAAAAGAACCAAGGAAAGGAGAGTGGCTGACACAGAGTGCAAAAGCCCTTTATTTCCTATACCCCAAATCCCCAGGGGAAAAGGAAAGAAGAAAGCACGCCACAGGCACATCTTAGAGAAGAAAGTGTGGGGACTACTAACAGCCTCTTTCCTAATCATAGTGCAGGGGGTAAAAAAGAACAAGTTTATGTCCTAAAAATCCTCCTTTGGTTTTCAAGAATAACCATGGATTCCTTTTCAATCTACTTCCTTTCTGTAACAGCTGCTTCATCTATTGCTTATGTCATGAGGTGGGATGTGATATGATGAAGGATTAGGTGGGGGGGTGGGGGGTTTGGGGGAAAATAGAGGGTAAGTGTGAGGACTTGTTCTTAGAATAAGAAACCAGTGTCTTTTGTGCTGAAGAGCTAGTTTTACCTTGAAAATAAAAAGCCATGTATAAGAGCTAAAAGGATGTTCTATCAGTCTACCTGCTTACCTATCTATTGATCATCTTTATCTTCCTACCCATTTATCATATATATACTCTGCCTATACTCTACTGGCTTCCACTTACTGTGAAAAGCACACATGTAAAAGAGTTAAAATAAAAATAAAGAATTTCACACACCATGAGGTGAAAGAGAGGGGTATAATTGTACTAACATCATGGAAAAAGTAGTTCTGACAATTTAGCTTAAGTTTCAAGGCAAAATAGACAACTTCTGTAAGACTTACTAGATGTCATTGTTGATGAGAGAAGTGTACTATTGTATCAGAAGGGAAAATATCCCTCATAGTAAATCCTAAAATTTTATTCTTTTTATGAGAGAACCTGTAGCAACATGCACAGTGTCTTATACAGCAATTTTACAAAAGATACAGAAACGTTCTTCTTATGAGGTTTGTTATACCAATATTGGATATAAAAGCAGCAGCCCTTAATAAAAAGAAACTGAAGACCATGATGTGCTTCAGCCTTTATTCTTCTGAATAACACATTGTTAAGACACTGACAAAACAAACAAGAACTGCTCAGTTCTGAACTTTTATAGTTCCATGTCTCATCTAAGTTAGGGTTTTATATACAGTAGCCCTAGGTTATGGCTCATACTGTCACTTCTGAGTTTGGATTCTTTCAACTTAAAGAAAATAGAAATCTCAACCAAAAGTGCCTTAAGAAATTAGAGAATCTATTGGGTCATGAAAGTGAAAAGTCCATCAGTATGCTGGTTTTCAAGCTCCAGTTTGACTCAGAGGTTCACAGCATCACTAGGGCATTGGTTCTTTAGATGTTTTCCTTGTTACCATCCTCTCTACTATGTTATCTTTTTCTTCCAGTTAGTAGCTCTTAGCATGGCAAATGCTTACATTGAGTTCCAGAGTTCTTCATACTTAAAAATCCTTATACTGTAGAATTCAGAGGGAAAAACTGAAATTTTTCTCTAGTTAACTAAAGTGAAGTTTAAAAAATTACCATTGGTTGAACAACTAATTTCAAAATATAATGCTGAGTGAATTAAACCAGATACAAAAGAATAGATAATTTTATATGAAGTTCTACAACAAGCCAAATTAATCTATGGTGATAGAAATCAGAACAGGAGAGGGGAATTGAGAGAGAAAAATTTAAAGGGAAACTTCTAAAGAGAGAAATGTTCTTTATTTCATTTTTAGATAGTGGTTCTGCCAATGTATGCATTTGTCAAAAGTTGTGTGTTTATGATATGTGCACTTCACACACTTGGAAATGAAAGCCTAGGTACTAACCTGTCATGCTGGCTGATGTAAGGAGAATTGACTAAAATGAAATTAATATGGGAAATAGAGATGGGAGACTCACAGTTGGTCTAGACCACATTGAGAAGCAGAGGTCAAGTTCTGGATAAATTTTAAAGCTGGGATCAACAAGATTAGCTGATTGATTGTGTGTTATGAGAGAAACAAAGGCCTAAAGGCTGACTCCTAGGGTTTAGCTCTGCATATTTAGGTGAATAGTGATGTCATTTGCTAAAATGAGGAAGAAGTGGTGAAGATGGAGTTTGGGTTGGAGGATAGAGGCCAGGAAATCAAGACTTTGGTTTTGAATGTGAGATGCCCATCAGCTGTGCATCTAGAGCTGTCAAGTAAGAAAGTGGATGTAGAAGGCCGGAGTTTAGAAGAGAGGTCAGGTGCAAATATAAATTTAAAGCCATGGGACTGGATAAGACCTGAGGAATGATGACTGATATGGAAGAGGGCAGAAGCCTAGGATAAACTGCTGGCATATTTGCAGAGGAGCTAAGCTTTAGTTGGAATGAGGAGGATCTGGGAGAAGCAATGAGGAGAAGATGGGGTCTCATACCTCCTTTAGACTGTGCTGGGTATAGCATGTGGAAAGAAATGGCCACCTCTTAAGCAGACTTCAAGGGAGATGGCGTGTTTAGGGACTCAGCTAAGTTTGTCATCAGCAAAGTCTTCTATATCTTAGAATTCTTTTCTAAATGACTCTTTGATTTTCTTGCTCTAACAAAAAACTTAGCCGTTCCCAGAACAGTGAGGCAGGGTACAGTCAGAGTAAGTTGAAGGGAATGTTCCAAAAAGTTGAGGCGATAGAGGATTTTGCTAATGACAGACTGTGAGTTCCAAAGGTCTCCGTGGAAAGGTTGGAGGGATTGGGGAAAGGTGAGTGACTGGGTCAAATTTTGGAATGCACAATGCACTATAAAGTTTAAGAAATTGAGCATGGGGGATAACCTAGGAGACTTGGATATCTAGTAGCTTAGAAGTATGTTGAGACTGCTTAAAAGCCAAAAGACCTCATGGTCTTTTTGGGACAAATGTGTAATTCTCATTAGAGATTCCTCTTGGTACTTCAGCAGTTTTTGTGAAGAGGCAAGTAGAGGCAACCAATCACTGTAGCCTGGAGAATGGAATTACAGAGACTATGGATGCCTGAAATTCAGGGAAGGTGTGTGTGTGTGTGTGTGTGTGTGTGTGTGTGTGTGTGTGTGTGTGTGTCTGGGCACAGTGACTAAGGGATGAGGTTACCTAGAGTTACCAAAAGACAGGAGGGGATGATTGCTAAATGGCTAAACCCAGCACATGCTCATTAGAGCCCTTTACCCAGCAACCATCAAACATAATACTGTTGACAGAGTAAATTTGGGAAGAGCATGAGTGGATCCATGTAAACACATCCTCACTCAGGGAAAATAACAGGAAGCACTATCTTTAGTGGCATAAAAAATTCATACAATTTGAGTGGCAGTATTGTATGTATTTGATCAAGAATCAAATTGTATTGTATGTTTAAGCACTTACCCATTGTTAAGTCCAGAACTCTCAACAGTTATCTCAATTTTGCAAACAATTGTTCTCCAATATTATTACCCACAAGTACACGGGGTCAATTTGTAAGTTACTTCTTTTCTTTTTCACAGGAAGAAATGAAACGATTGCAGAACCCGTTAGAACAAGTTAATGATGGAAAATATTTACTTGAAAAGTAAGTAAAAAATACCAAAGGAAATTAAATTGTGTTTGAAGTTAAAAAGCTTGCAAGAAAAAGAAAAAACAAAACACCTGGCAAGGCAAAAATGAGCGAGTAAATTTGACAGTTTCTTTATGATACCACTGTGGTCAGGACCCAGGTATATGCCTTATTTGAGATACAGTTAGGTAGATTTATGGTTAGTTGAGGTGTGATACACAAGCTACACTGATTAACAGAATAATATGATGCATGGTGCTGTGTCTGAGGGCTTAAAACTTAACAACCTTTCCCTGTTTTTGGCTTTTAATCAATGACATGTATGGAAGGCAGTCATAAAATTTGCAAAAAGCATAAGGGTAACACTGACTAATAGAATGAACATTTAAAATAATACTACAGGGATCCCTGGGTGGTGCAGCGGTTTGGCGCCTGCCTTTGGCCCAGGGCCTGATCCTGGAAACCCAGGATCGAATCCCACGTCGGGCTTCCGGTGCATGGAGCCTGCTTCTCCCTCTGCCTGTGTCTCTGCCTCTCTCTCTCTCTCTCTGTGTGACTATCGTAAATAAATAAAAATTAAAAAAAAAATAAAATAATACTACAGAAAGGAACAAAACTGCTCTGACCTCAGTAATCACGTGATCTGCCCCCTCATAACCCCTGAGAACCACTGATCTGTTTTCCATTGCTATAGTTTTGTCTTTTTGAGAATAAGATCTTTTGTACTGAAAAAAAAGCAAGAAAGAGATGAAATTTAAAAGATACAAGTGAACTTTTCATTTATATTTTCAAAAAATTGTACAATTAGAGCACGTGAGAGATATATTCTGATTTCAGTTTGTGTGAATAGATGCTTAGAGGTTTTATCTGATTTTAACACAGGCCGTGATTTTATATGGCTTCTAAAAATATTATCACAATATTAGACTGATCAATAGACATGTATTGTCAAGATAAAAGAAAAAAATGAACATTTACTGAGCATTTACAATATCCTCCATATTAGTGAATGCTTACAGATGTTTCCTCTAGAATTCTGATAACAGCCTTTGACATAGGCACTGTTTCTATTTTATAGATGGAGAAAGACTCAGAGAGCTTTCAGCACTTATCTAAATATATTTAGCTAAGAGTAGTGAGGATGAGAATTTGGAAGCCACCAGTGCTCCTGCTCTCAACCACTGGCTAAGCCCCAATGCAAAGCCCATGTGGGTGCCACCGGTAGCTCTGGTCACCACATTTAAAAAGCACATAGAGGGGCATCTGGGTGGCTCAGTTAGTTCATTGTCCAACTCTTGATCTTGGCTCAGGTCTTGATCTTAGGGTCGTGAGATCAAGGCCCATGGAGGGCTCTTCCCTGGGCATAGAGCCTGCTTAGGATTCTTTCTCTCCTTCTCCCTTTCCACCCACTGCTCACATAATTCTCTCCCTCTCTTTCTAGAATAGAATAGAATAGAATAGAATAGAATAGAATAGAATAGAATAGAATAGAATAGAAAAATTAAAATAAAATAAATAAAAATATGCATTGACCTACCACGAGTATCAGAGGAGGTCAATTAAAATTGTGAGGGATCTGGAACCACATGAAACTATTACAAAGAGCTGAGGATGCGAACTTGGAGAAAAGAAATCTCAGAGGGAACACAGTGGCTTTCCTTAAACATTCGAAGGGATTTTCCTATTTAAAAAGGAGCTAAATTGCTCTTCTTGCTCTAGAGAGCATAGCAAGAATCAGTGAGCAGGATTTATGTAGAAACAGCTTTGTGACTTAGAAAAAGAATAACTTTTGTAAAAATGCTGCCTGCCCAACAAAATGGACTTCTTTGTTAAGGAGTGAGATGACAGAAAGTAGATGTACCCAAAGAAGAATGAAGAGTCCATCCATTTGAAGTGCTAGTGAAAGCATTCCTGAAAATGGAAAATCTTGGATGTGATTCCTCTTTCTGATTTTATTCTAGCTTTGTGAGACTGGACAACTTATATAATACACACACCCCCGAACCAGCTTCCTCATCTTTAAAAATGAAGACAGTAGCACTGACTGGACAGTCTTAGTGAGACCATTAACTGAGATAGGCACAATAGCACAGTACCTTCAATGTCAGCGCCTTCTCTTTCCATCCTGGTGGCTGTTTGGAAGACAGTTCAGGTTCATTCTGTCTCCATGATTCTAAGAAGTTGCTTTGTCATCACTTGAAGGACAGTTCCAGCCCTTTGATCAAATGAAGTTTCTGAGTTAACTTCAGATTTAATTTATCCTCGTCATGTCTACTGTCATTAATGTGAATAACTAAGAATAAATTAGTTCAGCACCACCCACCCCATCATCACTAGCAATATTGTAAACAATAATAACTAAAAATTTTTTGACTGTGTAGCTAGAAAGTTTTTCCTCTATGGAGATTAGTGTGGTAATGACATTAGATCAGTAGTTCTTCATACTGGATACCCTTAGAATCACCTGGGAGTTAATAAAAATGGCATAAGCCTTGGCATAACCTCCAACCTAGACAAATTGAATCTGAATCTCTGGGGATGAGATTAGTATTTCTTAAAAGCTGACTTCATGTGATTCTAATGAGGAGCTGGGGATGAGAACCAGCGGTCTAAGTGCATTTTAGATTCCTGTTGGTTATTCAATAATCTCATGTAGCTTCATTCTCATGGGACACACTTCTCTGTGACCTTCAGCCCTTTTGATGAGGGGGACACTGAGCAAATGGTCAAGAAAGAGTTCTTGAGACATCTTTGGTGCCAAAAGATGCTTTTATTAAATCAAGGGGACAGGGCCATGGGCAGAAAGAACTGTCCTGTGATCTTGAGGAGCCATTGATTATATACATTTAGGTTATGGAGGGAGGGTGGAGATAAAGGAAGTCTCTAAAGATATTTCCTTATGTTAAAGAAGACTTACAGGATCTTGGAGGTCTGGCTGTTCTCCAACTAAGGTTGCTTTTAGCCTCTAGCAAAACATCAGCAGTATTAAGGCAGCTATGAGTTCCTTGAGGAATGTCACACTCTGCATGTCTCAGGTATTTGTCAATAGGCTGCAAGTTGTAAGGAAATTTAATTTATCTACATTTGCCTTTGCTCTCCTCATCACTTTCATCTATTAAATTTGGTTATGCTGGTATTTCATTATTGATTTTAATATAAGAAGTGAGCTCCAGAAGTTTTTTTCTCGCTAATTGACCACAACTCTGTACTAAACTTCTCACTAATACCAGCGTGTATCTTTCCCAGCTCTCTGCTCTCAGGAAGATTTGTGAAGGTTAATGGCAGATATGTGGGCTTCTGTCTCCTTCCTCCCCTATTCTTTCCTTCTTGTTATCCAGAAGCCTGGGAAAGCTAAAAGCTTTTGGAAATAGCCAATCTACTTTGCATGCCTATTTTTCCTTATCATGATCGAGGAGTTCCAGAGATGGGAATTAAAATCTCCCCTCAAAGCAAACAGGCCTGTGGGGAGCTTCCCTTTCATGTTTGTCCAGGACAGAGAGAAAACAATGGCTCCCAGCCCTAACAACTATGCTCATTTGCCTGGAATTCTAGAGACTTTCCTGGTTGGCTTTGGGGCAGAGCTGTGTCCTTGAAAGCTGTCAAATTTGATTGAAAAATTGGTGTACTTTGAGTGAGCAGTTAGGCATTTCATTATGGCTGTAGCTGACTTAGGTGCTGATGTAAATCATCTCAGCTACTTGAAATGACCATAAGTTAAGTGATAGTGGTGTCATAGCAGTTGATCAGTTACTCCCCCTTGGAACATTACATTTATTCTGAATGCTCAACAGGGTTTTGTGGTAGACAGTCAGTGTGAAGGGAGGGGAGGCTGCAACTCTGTTCTACTTGAGACTATGTGCAGAGCCAGGCCAGTGCATTTGTATACACGTACATGCACATACTCAACAAAGCACATACTCAACTCTCTGCCCATAAACAGAAGAGTAATGAGTAAGGCCATTAATTAAGAGCCTGCTTATGACTGTATTGTTTTTGATAATCATTTATTAACTAAAGCAAGACCTTAGGCTGACTGCTATTTGTTGTAAATATTGAATCAGGCTGGGTTTCTGGTGTGATTTGCAATCACACATTCACCTCACATATTATCATTTTATTACCCACAGGTAATTATTGATGGAATGAGCTAAGCTACCCAATTAAACCTACAGGTATTCATAGTTTATAGTTTGTTGAGGTTGTATAAATTATAACCCCAAATTAGCAAAATTTATTAATATATATATATTTTTTCTTTTTATAAAAACTTAAGCTTTGCCTTTGGTTGCTGAATAACTACAAGTCCCACACCACCTCACATGTATCTCTATCGCCCAGTTTGCTAAGATGCTACTAAGGTGTTCAATTAACAAAATTTTAAAGTATCTTTGCTGTAAGGCCGTTGTCCCTACAAGATCATAGCAATGTACAAACAAGACTTTTTATGCCCGTCAACCCTGGATTAGGTTTCTTCTGTGTTTACCCTTGAATAGCATCCATCACACTTGTAGTGATTAGTTTAATATTCATCATCTCCTTGATTGTAAAACCATAGAACAGGGACTGTGTCCAGTGTTTTCACCATTGTATCATTTGTGTTCTGCATCATTTCTGACAATAGAAGACATACACTATATTTATGAACAAGTGAATAAGGATGAATGAATAATGCCAGAATATGAATGGCACAGAGCACACAAGAGTAGTTTTTTCCTTACCCCCTCAACACCCCAGCTGGGTAATCACAAAGCTATATTGTGCTGATGGCACCATCTACCGGCCGTATAGGAATTTATCTAACCTATTGTGTGTTTCCACACCTCTTGGTTATTCTTTACTAAAGAGGAGATAATCCTAGATATCTTCTGCACAATTTTTTTTTAAATCTTTTTCTTTTCTTTTCTAAAACCACAGTGCTGGTCCTTGATTGTTGAACCAATTTGAATACCTTCCTGAATATTTTCCATCACTTTCCTTGCTCACTCCTACCAAAAATCACCCTTAAGCATCCCATTCAAGTTTCCCTGCTCCAAATGTTTTAGGTGTCCCTGCAGCAATGTTTTTCACACTGTTGGTAACAATTCATTGACGATTTGTTAAATTAATTTGATGAGTCACCATTGAAAGATAATTTTAAAAATCTGAAATATAAGATTTTATTTATTCATTCATGAGAGACAGAGAGAGAGAGGAAGACATAGGCAGAAGGAGAAGCAGGCTCCTCGCAGGGAGCCTGATGTGGGATTCGATCCCAGACCCCAAGATCACACCCTGAGCTGAAGGCAGATGCTCAACCGCTGAGCCACTCAGGCATCCCTGAAAATCTGAAATATAATAAAAGATATCAGCATACATTACATGTAGTTGGGGAAATAATATTCCCTGATATTTTTGTTTCAGTTTTAAACACATGTACTTACACATGTGCACACACAGACCCTTGGCACATGCATGTAATGGATTGGGATGTCAAATATTTGACCTGTGAAAACCACAATAAGTAGGATCAAGTTCAGTAAGTATGATATTATAATCCTTCAAGCAGTATTTTGTGGTTGTGAGACTCAAGTTTTAATGTGGTTTCTGCTACATTGTGACCTGAGCATAATTTCTTTGAGCTTCAGATTCTCAACTGTACAGTGGGGAGAATAGTTAATTGGTAGAGGCTACTGTGGGAATTGAATAATATAATGCATGTAAAATGTCTATGACACTATTTTATATATATTATGTAGCCGATGACTATTAGTTTTCTGCTTATCCAAACTTATTTCCTACTTATATCCCCCATTATCACCAAATTGCTCCTTATTGTCCAAAAATAGCCTGAATTTTTTCACCTCTAATCCTTTGTTTTAGTATCCCTCTTATGTGTATTATCTTTCACATCTCAATTTATCTAATTCCTGTCCATTCTTTAAAACCACATCAACTACCACCAAATCCATAAAATCTTCTTTGATCATTGTAGCACCCAGTGATTGCCTAATAAGCTCATTAGGAGCAGTGATCAAATATCTATAGACTCCTGCCAGCAGTTTTCCAGGGTGGAGATTATACTTTGTTCATAGTGGGAGCTCTGCAAAAGCCTATAGAATGAAAGGAGGAAAGGGTCAATGGCAGTGGCACCTTTGGGGTGAGAATGAGTGAGATCCTCTCTTGGGCAATGCCATGGGTTTTATAAACACTCACCTTATGTTTTTCTTCTCCTCCTGAAATGGCCCAGTATTCTGCTTTCCTCTTTGCTTAAAGGAAATGACTTTCATGCCTTAAATATGAATGTTGAGCTGAGGAGTAAAAATTAAAAGAATGCAAAGGTAAATGGTAAAATAATATTTTCTTTTCATGGTATAGTTGTTTATCCTTTATCCATCAATAGCAACCTTTAGGCCTCTGTGAATTAATTAAAATGAACAAGATCGGATGTATATCTGCTTTTTCTAATAAATATAAATTAGCAGTTTTATTGCTATAAAGGTTAACTATATAGACTCAACTATACTGAGACATTATTTCTGTTTCTAGTCACCAACTGGCCATGGATATGGAGAATAACATTGAGAAATATCACCTCAATCTACAGCCCCTGGAATCAAAGGTGAAAATGTAAGTTATTTCAAAGTTTACATTAAAGCATTAGTTTTAAAGTTCTTGTTTTATGAACTTCTAGCCTACTCTGGAATTTGAGGGTATAAGAATTAGGCATTTATTTATTTCACATCTATGTGTTAAACATTATCTCCTTTGTTAAGGGTAGCAACAAAACTGTTTTGGGCAAACATCACCACCTACTGGATATTATGGAGAATTATTTGGTTGTCATCACATCTTCATTTCTTCATTTCTTGGATTTTTCCTGTTCTAGGCAGCCTGCAGCTCTTCAGCATCCATTAGCATTTTTCACTGTCTTTCATTTTAGTAACTTGGTTAATCCCACCTTGAAACAACTTGGCTGTTGTTCCAAGCTATTTCTTTATTACACACACACATATTTTTAATCCTCTTCCTCCTATTTATATTCCATCTCTCATCCATATATTTTGGAAAAATATCTCTTCTTTTTCTCCTCACTGTTGTTTTCCTTTTTATTCTCTCTCTTTTTTAAGATTTTATTTATTTATTCATGAGAGTCACAGAGAGGCAGAGACATAGACAGAGGGAGAAGCAGGCTTCTCACAGGAAGCCTGATGTGGGACTTGATCCCCGAACTGGGCTCACACTCTGAGCCAAAGGCAGACACTCAGCCACTGAGTCACCCAGGTGTACCTTTAGTCTCTCTTAATAAGACCAATCCCCTTCCCACTACAAATGACTGATGAATAAAGATAGTGCTTAGAAGGGATTCCTGGGTGGCTCAGTTGGTTAAGTTGGTGATCTCAGGGTCTTGAGATCTAGCTCCACCTTGCCCCCCACCCCCCCCACATTGAGGCTTCCAGGTTAGGGGCCTCATGGAGATGCTTGGGATTCCCTTTCTCCCTCTCCCTCTGTCCCTCCCTCTGCTCACATCCTCTCTTTCTCAAATAAATAAATAAATGAATCCTTACAAAAAATAGTGCTAAGAACACCTCAATATTAACAAAAATGAAACTAGTAACTTCCAGAGTGAAACAGGCTATATTCTACAACAAAATAGCAACTTTCTAAAACTATGTTTAAGGAGAGAAGGAGTCTATCTTAATCACCTTAGAAGCAATTTTTAACTATATTTGTTTTCTGTGATCCTTTCCTCTTATGATCTTCCTTCAGAGGTGCATATAAGAATTTTCAGTGAAATCATATGAAATCTCTCTCTCTCTCTCTCTCTCTCTCTCTCTCACACACACCACACACACACACACACACACACACACACACACAGAGCTTAACACTCTGAGAGGCATGTGTCCGAGAATTTAAACATGTCTAAGCTGGCTAGGATCACTGGTCATTTGCAGAAAAGCCCAAAGAGGAATCTTTTAGAAGATAAATCACCCCGAAGAAGGGAGCCTTGAGGTGTACAACTTTGAAGAACAATAAGCTCTGGATTTAGGAACTAAGACAGAAATGATGCAGCCATATAATATCCTACTGGATAAAAGCAAATATTAGCATAAACCCCTGTCAATTTATATTAACCCTGGTTATCAATAAAAAGCTTGTTTCTGAGCGGAAACATAGAGATACCTTGAAGATAAAATTCAAATATGGCTTCTGAACCTGTTGGGTCCCCTATTAGGAAGTTCTGTGTCATGCTCACTAAATGAATAATAAATCAGGCTACCAAATTTTATGCAAGCAATGTGTCAGCCTTGCTATACAGGATGTTAGTTTGCAAACATAGGTTACTTTATCCTTAGGAACTTTCTCATTAAGATAACCTTCTCTTAAATGAAAAAGTGCTGGAATTGAAAGTTGTTTGTCTGAAAAATTAATTAGACTGTTTGATTTGAATGCTGAAATGAAGCTAGGAAACCTCCCTGGTCTTTTTTGGTTTTCATCATCCCCAATATGTAGAGGCAGAGGGGCAGATGCCTGGAGGAGGAGCAGGCAAGAAAAAAATATCTCTGGCTGAGATTCCAGTCAGCTCAGAGAGTCTGGGACTTTCTGTGTAGCTAGCTTAATGGAGGAGTCTCAGTTCAGTGAGGTGCAAACAGAATGGTTTTATCTCTTCTAATAACTCTGAACCCCATTTCCACTCACTGGAGGGGGATGAGGGAGAGAAAACTTAATCTTGTCCAATAATGGAATTTGATTCCCATTGGAGAATTTAGTCCAGTTCAGTGACTCTTGTCTAATCTGGTTATTAAATTCTTAACTCTCATGACAGTTTGAACATCTCCCTTCTACACACATTAGATCTTTCCAACAGCTGTGCAGCTTGTTCTCCTCTCTCTGTATTCTCTCCTCTTTCTGGTTGCCCCTTCTCCTTGGTATCATCTCTCCCACCCTTCATGTGCTGAACACCCAACTGCCCCAGCATGCCTATTAATGGTAAACACTTAGCTCCCAAGCAGTTGTTTCCTTAAAAAATAGCTCTAAGGGTTGGGATCCTGTGAGAAGAAAGGTCATCTGGTCTCCTGTGAGTCCCCACTGATGTTGTGGGCTGTGCCTCTCATTGTGTCCCTTGTTCTGGAGGGGGACCGTCTGCCGCAGACTGACCTTAGCATTCTCATCAGGGTGGATCTTGGTAAACCCTCATCCCCACTTCCCAAGGGATTTTCTTTAGCCCTGAAGAACATTGGATATGAAAGATAGGTCCTTGTCTCAGGTTCCAGAGTCACTGTCAGACTTTACAAGCTTTCTCTTACGGTCTTCTGGCTTTTGTTGGTGGGACCCTGCTGAACATCTATCTTCCTCTGGTGGGTAGAGAGAAGTGAGGATTACTACACTGTAAAATTTGTTTTCCTGGAAACTCTCCTCTGTCTTCCCTGACAAGGAGGAGAGGGTCAGTAGGTCCCAATAAAGGTTTTTTTGGACAGTCCAACCTCTGTAAACCTGAGGTGGGATGCTCCTTGGCAGGCCAATCTCTGAACATAAAAGACAATAAGACAGGATGAGAACTGTTCTCACGTGTGGGCTGCCTCCATTATATACCTGCACTAGTGAGAACCTGAGGTGAGGGTTGGATGGGGCGGGAAAGACTCTCAATTGTTTCTTCACACTAAGGCCAACTAAAAAGAATTTGATAAGAAAGCCTAAACCTTTAAGTGGATTGCAAAATATCAGTGGAAAGAAGTCAAGACCTGCAGGGAAAGAACACATGTGAGTGTGGGGGTGGAATTTAGAGGAAATGTCAGGAAGGGCACATTACCTGGTTCATGAATGTAACCATTAACAGGTAATTTTGAGTTTTTGACTTGAAGGATCAAAGGACTGTGTCAAAAAGGAAAAAGCAATCAAGATTGCACAGCTATTAATAAAAAGTCATTTGGGGGAGGTGAAAGGCAGGTTTTCTGAAGATCAAGCAAAGGCAAGCCTCTCAAGTCAGAAAATTTAGTGAAAGCAAAAGCAATAGTGAAAGCACCACAGTGAAGACTCTCAATCCAACTCGACTGACTAACGACAAATATATTCTTAAGAGGCAGGGCTGGAATGTGGGCCTGGGGATAAAGGCACACATCAAAGGAGCTTTAGCATAAAGAGGCTTTAGCACAAAGGCCTGGCTGCCAAGGAAGGAAATGGGCTCTCCAAATCCCATAAAACTATTACCCTTCACATGGAGGTCACACCTTGCATGTTGTGGTGAGATCTGAAACACATCTTCTGAATACAAACCATCACTTAACAGGTGTTCATTAACTGTGTGCAATCCCTCTCCTGATGTTTTAACAACATATTTATTTTGTTATGGACAACATTGTATCCATTGAATACAAGTTATCTTTTGAACATCTGCTCATTAAATGTGTCTGATTCATTTTTTATTACTGTATTTGATGATTTAGTGATAAAACAACATTTAGATTCTATAAAAGAGAGGGAAGGAAAGAGAGAGACAGGCAGGTAGACAGACAGACACACTCGAGGAAAAAGACAATTCCCAGAAGAATTTCAACAAATAAAGGCTTGTTAAATGGCATTTGTTTGAGAGTAATGCCTATCAACATTAGTCAATGTTTTAATTAAAAGAAGATAGAGAGAAGAATGGTTGAAAGCATGGGCTTTGGAATTAGAGCAATAGAAGAAATCCCAGCTCTGCTCCTTACCCACTGTATGATCTTAGGAACACTGCTTACCTGTCTGGGCCACAGTTGCACTTCTCTATAAAATGATAACACTAACCATCTCCAAAAAGATTGTAGTGAGCTTTCAGTGTGAAAATTAAAAAAAAAAAAAAAGATTGACCTAATGTGTCTTTCCATGAGTTATACTGTTTCTAAACATGTTTTTATGCCAAATTGGGCTATTAGAATATTCCCCTTGGAGCACCTGGGTGACTCAGTGGTTGAGTGTCTGCCTTTGGCTCCAGTCCTGATCCCCGGTCCTGGGATTGAGTTCCACATTGGGCTCCCCACAGGGAGCCTGCTTCTCCCTCTGCCTCTCTCTGTGTGTCTCTCATGAATAAAGAAAGAAAATCTAAAAAAAAATGTTGCCCTTAAGGATCCTTAGGAATCCAGTATATCATATTGATATATATGATTAGCACATGTTACTTACAAATTTTTTAAAGTGTTTTATTTTCTTAAGTAATTATAATGCTTTATCTAAGACCTTTATTTATCAAGTTTGAGGCTGACTTAGATACCTTATCCTGGATTCCTTGCCCAGAGGTTATTGCTATTCCTATTTTTGGGGTAAGCACAATATAGGTCAATAACTTCAGTATTTTGCCCAAAGAGCACAGCTAATGAGAATTGAACTGAGCAAGAACCTATATCTCTAAACACACGTAGTTTCTGGGGAGTTCCAGTTCAAGATGGCTATGCAGGAAGATCCTGAATTCACCTCCTCCCGCAAACATACTGATTTTACAGCTATATATGGAACAATATCCCTTGAAAAAAATCCTAAAAACTGGCAGAGCAACCCCTTTTACAACAGGCAAATAAGAGGGACACCACACTGAAACAGAAAGGAAAGGCTGGGATGTAAACTTGCAGTAAACTCCACCCCACCCAGTGCAGTGC